TCCTGGTCATTTTGCCCCTAATTCTCTAACTCATCCCTCTCCTCGTTTATTTCATTCAATTTCAAATTGGCCTCTCGCCGTAATCACAATAACTTCGAAAATGACGCTCGTGCGAAATAGGAAAACGGAGTATTTGGGTTATTGGCGGAAACCCTTCCAGATCTTTTGCTCAGGTCACGCGTCTGCGATCGTCTCTTATGTCTCACCAAGCCATTAATTTTTAACGTAATTTGAGTAACAATTAACTTACAGATTATTTCAACTACACAGAATCGCCTAACCCCATCTTTGTTAGCCACGTTCCCTTTCCTACTTGCCTCGTCCTCTCAATTCCTCTCTCGTCTGACATGTTCCTCATCACCATTAATTTTGTCCCTGCGAATATTGACAAACAGATTAGCCACCTTATTAACCAGCGCTCAGTTGGAATTAATAACATACCGATCTGTTTTGTTAGGCAGTTAGGCTATTCCACTTCTTTACTGAGCAAATTCTTTTAAGTCGTTCGCGCTCCATTAAGTGCCATTATCCCAAACGACTTGTTGGTCAAAAACCGACGAGAATGCACAAAGCACATTGTCCCCATGAAATGAACCAAGTCAGCCTGCAACATTGGTCACCTAGAGGTAACCAAGTTTAAATAACATGTAATTTAGGCTGCCCAACGAAAAACCAGAACAAGCCCTTTGACCAACGTGTTGTAATCAAGTAAACCGATAAACGGCGTGTCTCTGGTAGGAACATTCAAAATACTGTCGGTAATCATTTAGAAGACAACTATGCTACGTCGCCGATCAGTGCCTAACCAACTATAATGGTTTGCAGGAAATGAAAGAGACAATGGCCGACCTACTGAAGACAGTGCAGATCCTATCCATTTCTGCTAATGAGAAGATTTTTCTGCCACCTCAGCCACCTTGTACGAAAGGGGCATATAATTACTTCGTTGACCGGCTGAGTACTGAAGTAAACACTGCACGGAAACTTGCACGTTAATATTTTTATCTATCTGCCTATAAAGTCTACTAGGTAAAATGTGTCTCTCTGAAAGGCAAACTGAGAGAAAGCTTGTCAGGAATCACTTGACTACTTGACTTGCCCCTCCACCTATACCTCAGTTCCTGCTGGGGGACCCGTCCAAAAGGGATCGTTCGCTGGCTGCCCCTCCATTGAGTCCTCACCAATAGGTCAATTTTTTGTTATTGCCACGTGTGGATTTGATTCGGTTAAACGCCAGATTTAGTAACTGGCCTGTATAGGTACTCTTCAAAACCACCACTTTTCCCTTGCTGCCTTTAATGATGGATTCCAGAGACAATCCCAAGCGCCAGGCTAATAAGGTTCTTTTTCCAACGATCATGTCTCCTTTGCTACTACCTTCTGGGACCCGTCCGCTCGTTTCCATCAGTTCGCAAGACCGCCGCTGATCGGCTCCGCAGAACCAGCGATAAGTGCGGCGATAGATTTAAATGCTGGGAGACTGCCGACAAGGCAACATAACTGCTTTGACTTATTACTGAGGCACAAGTACTTTTGTGTACCACTAATGCCGCAGTTTGCCTAACTAATTTTCCGTCAGAAGATA